TTAATGCAGTAAATTTGCAGTAAGTCAGAAAATACCAGAAAAATACCAGATTTAGGCATATATACCAGATCTAAAATATTCATACCAGACACCTTCTGAAAATACCAGATTTGGTAAATCTGGTATAGAAATATACCATCTGGCAACGCTGGGTTACCCTGTGTACGTTCAACTGACAATAATAGAAAATATTTCAGGGCATACTTTCACATAAAGAGAGTTTGGGGGGTCGGAAGGGGATCGATCAAATATAATCTAAAGAACCAATTTGATGATTCAGAAACTTGGATACAATTAGTGTTTTTCAAAGAAACCAAATTTGGTCAAAATTCAATGCACAAATAAGAACCTGAAAAATTCAGTTCTAATGTATTGGATATATTCTAATTGGATATCATGAGTGAACAAAATCACACAACCTGTTATCACGGTAGTTGAAGGCAAATTTTTCACAAATTTGTATGTTTGCAGAAAGTAGGCGATATGATTACAAATATCATTAGAAAATCTCGGCGGATACTAAGAAAATCCACAGACCCCTGCTTCAGGGCATTCATTTTAAATAATTTTTTCCTCGAAACACTGGCGCGGGAAGTACTTAGTTAGTCCTTGGAAAATACTGCTGGAAACAAAAAGATCTTGATTTTATTTCGGGAAATTCTCAATTTTGCAAAACAGTATAACGGTAATGAAATAAACGAACGAACGAATCATAATGATATATATGAATTTGTATGAGTATTTTTTACATGTTCACGTGTATTTTTTCGGCAAATTCGAAAAAATGTTGCTCGGACCAAATGATGTACCAACTTTCATGATGGTGCAACTTGAGTTCTGATAGCAGTTACTCGCTCCATAAATCAACTCCGTCAAAGAAATATAACATTCGCCCTCGAAGCGAACATCAAAAGACGTAAGTCTTGCAGGCATATTCCTACCTACGTATCAGGGTCGCTGAAACTTTATGTAAGCTTGCTGTGGTAGGGACAGATCGGTACGTACAATAATTATTAATGATGATTATTTATTTTTGCGCGCAAACTAAATCACTTTAGAAAACAAGAAAACGCAGGCGATTGCATAAATTCAAGGAGTTCGAAAATTTCCTCTAAAGTAAGAAAATGCGTAGGTGATTAAGGTTGAGAAACAAATAACAATTGTTTTTCAATTTATTGCAACATTTGCAAAATCTTTTGCGGGGCTAAAAGATTTTTTCTAGCGGAAGATGCCAAAGTGGCAACAAATGCAATAATAAGGGTCGCAGTTTACGCAGTTGCTCTTGATTCTCCTGCCCCTGCCACATCCGTTCCACCAGAAGTTGCAATAACCCCACTGTGGAATTAGCGAAAGTTTAACAGAAACAAATAGTTGTTGAATAAAGTTGTCGTTAAATCTTCTAGTAAATTTACTGTTATTGAATGGAAGGTCAAAATTCGTTCGAGTAGTGGAACTATCGGTAATTATGATTTCTTATGAATGATAATGTAACTCTTTCTGGAATTTAGTGACGTACGTGTTGGAGAACTGAAAGTCCAACCATAAGATTAAATGATTGGATAGTATGGATACGATACTTCACCTTTTTTAATACCAACATGAATAAAACTAGAGATCGAAATTCTTTGCACCCTCAATTAAAATTTAATAATATAATTCAGGATAGATAATTCATAATAGAAGTTTCCGCATAGATAATTCATGAGAGATATTTCAGAATATATAATTCAGGATTTATAATTTTCTCGCTCACTCGTAGGCCGTCCGTACACTTGCCCCAGCAAGGGAAAAAGTTGCCGTAGGCCAGCGCAGTCAAATTGTCAGGAATCTTGAAATTGCCTGCAGTCAAATTAAAAAGATTTATATTACATGCATTCATTTAATGTTATCTTAAGAATTGAATATATTTTAAATAAAAATGCCATCCTTGATCTCATTTTTTTTTGTACCCAGATTGTACATAAAAGCGAAACATTTTAAGTGAGAAAATACCCATTAAAAGGGTTCTTGAGGACAAAATTTTATATATGGAGAATTTGAACTGAACAATAGTGCTTGCAATTACTTCAGAATTGGCAGCGTGAATGCGACCAATATCCAAGTAACGAAAAGACTCACATTGACTACTTGCATATAAAATCTTGGAACGCACCAATTTTAATGGGTTCCAGCGGGTAAGAATCGTTGTACAGCACTTTCAAAAACGCCTCAGTGTCGGGCTTCTCGGAGACCTGTCAAGAAATTTTAAGGTTCAAGCCACATCATTTAAAATATTTGTTTTTCTATATTGACTTGAGCTTTCTGGAAAGAAATCATGAAATTTACATGCATATATACATTTTTTCACATTCTCAGTTAGTTTTTAACGACTTACTACTACTATATCTTTTTAACTACTTTTAGCATTTTTGTAATAATTTACATTAAATTTGCTTTTGTTCGCCAACGTATTTTATTATGTTTTCGGAGTACAGTGGTTTCTACAAACAACATCAATAAGCAATAAAATGCGAGCAAATCATGCTAACAAATTACGGTAATATATAAAAATTGACTATGCAACAATATCATTGTGCCTTAGATAGTGAAACCATTACTTACAGGTAGAACCGCGTTTTGTGCGGCCATTGCCGCCATCACAGCCAGCAACAATGTGAGCAATCTCTTCATACTTATAGTGACTGGAAAATCCTGCAAAATAAACATTGCATTAGTATTCATAAATTGGGGTAATGAGTTTCATTTTTTTTGCCACAATAATATTGGCATACACAATACTACGGCTTCTGTAGTTTAAAATATTTATACAGCCAAACATGAGTAATAAAACGCATACCAAGTGACAGAATTACAACAGTGAATAGAAATATGATTTGAAGAATGCAAAAAATGATGAATATTTTTTCAGTGCACTTGGTTTAGGTTGGAAAGAGTAAAATTCACCTCAAGGAAAAGACACTGTTGTTCTGACGATGGTACAGCGTTTAGTGAGTGTGGTGTTCCTTGCTCAACTTATATAGCTACACATTCAGCTTCTGAATTCATCTCATGAACATTGTAAGCTTCGACCTGGTAACAGAGGTTTAGAATAATTGATTGTTGGTGAAAATTGATTATTGCAGATTATTTTTTGTTTCCAAATCCATAGAAATTTAGATGGGAATTCATCAGCCATTCATTTAATCTAACAGGAATTAATGATCTAACATTAATTAATTAATGTCAGTGAGCATAAATATTNGTTTCGTAAAAAACAAGGCCAAATTGCATATTACTTGAAATTGATCTGTATTGTAATGCTTGCATCTTTTGCATTGTCAACAATTCACCACGGAAGGCAAATTACATTAGGATGCGATTTGAGTTAGCATGTCTCCAAAATTGCCAACTGATGTTCCCGGTAAAATGAAATTCGGCACTCAAACTCTCCCAGAGTTGTTCTTTCACATAATTTCATGTCGGAAAAACATGGAATTGAGATTATTTCTCAATGTTATACTCATCCTAAGATTTTTCATTTCCAATGTACCTATTCGATTACGATCTTAAACGAGGGTCTACTGACCGCAATTTGTGAACAGGGTTTAAAAAATGAATGACATTGACGCAGATCAGTGTAATGTATTAACGTAGCAATATGAGTTTCCAACTTCTACTTGCAACAGTTCACATCACTATCAACTAGCAAGACTCGTTTCTAAGATATATTGTAATCCATTGTAGAAATGGTGACATTGAAGAATTTTTTCGTGAAATTGGGGTGGTTGGTATGCGAAATAATTATACCAGAGATCGAAATTGTCTTCTTCCTAGACTTTTTGCTACCTCTCAAAACACGCCTTACGAACAAACTCAAAGCCAATAATGGCCTCGTGTATAAGCTTACTGGCCCATAAAACTGTTGGTAGCCAGTCGTGGCCTTTATTGCTGTCTGCTAAAACTGGCTTGGAGCTCACCTTTGCTGAAATTCAATTTGCATTATGATGAAATCTGAACTCAATTATTTTTGGGAGGCAGGAGATTTCTGTGTTTTGCATAGCTTGTTTTCTGCCTTTTGTGTTCTTATTCATTAAAATAAAGAGCGGACTTGTACGCATCTCTGAAAACTATGTATTATGTATTAGTTCAAGCTTTAAATTATTTAAATTACTATCGTTAAAAAATAATTTGCGTTTAAGCATTTTTATCTGTTAGATGAAACTAAGAATTCTTCCCTTTCCAAGTCATGAGAAGCCCGCATAATCGCAGCCACCTTGATACTACGAAAAATATAAGAAAAAATGTAAAAAGTTTTTTATGGATAACTTATTCATATAGAATTTATGCTCGCGCTGCAGTCATTTGTCAACTCTAATGTTATTTTCATTTGACTCTGAGCTATTGGTTTAAAATTCACAACATTCATATCGTCTTTAATAATTATTCTTATGGTGACCAGTGGATCCAAAAAGAAAAAATGTAAAAGTTTTCTATGAATAACTTACCCATACAGAATTTATGCTCGCGCTGCAGTCATTTGTCAACTCTAATGTTATTTTCGTTTGACTCTGAGCTATTGGTTTAAAATTCACAATATTCATATCGTCTTTAATAATTATTCGTAAGGGGACCAGTGGATCCAAATTAAGTGTAATTTTTTCTTTAATTTACATAATAGGATTATCAATTATCGCAATTAGTACAAGTATCGGATTCAATACAAATTGATACGTCAATGTATCATTACCGGAAACAATAGAAATAAAATTTGGATACTTTTTGTCTGCAAATTGCATTTACGAATGAAAAAGTTATTCGATGAAATAAATTGATTTTATTGAGAATTGATACAAAAGCCTTACAATTTTAGACATGACTATGAAAATCATATTTCTAGGAGTAATTAAAGCCAGGGCGAAAAAAAATTCGTCATGAAAAAAACGCTCATATCATTTCATGAAATCAGTTTTTCAAGAATAATGCAAAAAAAATCCCGGTTATTATGTGTATCATCTTTCCTGCTCTGACAGGAGTACATATAATATGAGTTATCAGGTATCAACAAGCGCTATCCACGCATCATATCTAAAATAATCTAACCGATAAGCGCATCTGAGAGTCCCACTGCTTTAATGGTGGTCTTTACGTAACACATGAGGCAAGAGCCTAATGCTGGTGAGTCGTTATTCTTTGCGCGCTGAAAAAAACCATGTTACGTAATTAAGTCAGGAGCATCTGATTAGGAAATAGGTTTTTATAATACAAGTACAGGTACTTTGCATAAATTTTGCCTGATCGAATAAAAAGAAAAATCTTCTTTCGACATATAAGCTCATAGAATTTTGTGTGTTGAATTGAATTTTTTTATCTATTTCTTTTTGCTGTTTTCTATATAATGATATTCTCCATTATTTAAGGGAGAAACACCATGTTCATGCTGGTGCTGTTGTTCACTCTGGTTGCCGCTTTCTGTTGGTTTGCCACTAAGAAACCAGCTGGGTATCCTCCAGGTATTTTATCTCAAATCATAAATGTCACTAATTACCGAAAAATGAACAATAATACTTGATACTGTCATCATCAATCTATTATACATAGATATATTGTAATATATATTTACCGATAGTTTTCGACATGCAATACTCCACATTGTCAACGTTAATCATACTCTTGCTTTCGAATCTCAAAACCACTTTACGATGACACTTTGCCTAAAGCGTTTGACAACTTTAACGAATTTTCGACCTTCATGTACTAAGAGTTTATGATTTTCACTTATTTTTAGGCCCCACAAAATGGCCAATTCTCGGGTACGGACTCTTCATCGAGCAAGGAAAGCCCCACCGCACGTGGGAGTTCCTGCAACGTAAATATGGTTCCGTAGTAGGCATTTTCGTCGGCAGCGACCCGCTGGTGATTGTCAACGGATGGGAGGCTAGCAACGAGGCTCTGGCAAACCCTGACCTCTTGGGACGACCAGAACTATTTTCTAATGAAGATATATACGGCAAACACCTTGGTATACATTAATATTAAGGATCAGTGGACATATTTACACTGAACTAAGGGAGTTTATTTCTTTAAAGAATCTGAAAGATCCATACACTCGATCTGGATAGTTTTACTATGAGGATGTTCGGACATAAGGAATAATAAAATTAGCAATATAAATAAACAAACCCAAGATGATTATATCTCGGGGACATGATTTGAAATGAGCACAACATTTTCGTTCATATGTTAAATATTTTACACCGCAGTATGACATGAGCAAATTGCTTGGGAGTAATATAAGTATACAAATTGAATTTTCTTTTGCGGCTAAAATTTACTTTGCGATCAGGCAATGATAGACTGAAAAGAATTACGAATCGATCAATATACGCAGATTCCTGAACAACTGGCCACTATCATTCATAGAATAACGGTTAATCTCTCATTGAACCACTTGTTGTCATTTTTTTTTTATTTTACTAAAAATTTGGATGACGCCAGGTATCATGTTCACAAACGGAGAATTTTGGAAGACTCAACGCCGATTCACATTACATCATTTGCGTAACCTGGGAGTCGGGAAAAGTGTTCATCACGACATCATACTGGAGGAAGTGCGCGAGCTCATCCAAAATTTGGGCAAGAAAAATGGACCCTTCGAAATCCAGGTTAAAACATATCGCATTAAAATTAACCTAAGCAGCCTTAGCCTAGACCGTCGGTTTATTCGCAAGAGGGAGGGACTAATTTAATATTACCTCTCTAACAAAAAGTCGCCGCCAAGACTCGAAAGGGCATTTGTTCGGCAGTTTGTGGGCATTTGTTCGGCAGTTTGCGGGCATTTGTTCGGAAGTTTGTGGGCATTTGCTCGGCAGTTTGTGTGCATTTGCTCGGCAGTTTGTGGGCATTTGCTCGGCAGTTTGTGGGCATTTGCTCGGCAGTTTGTGGGCATTTGTTCGGCAGTTTATGTGCAGTTGGTCGGCATTTCATGTGCAGTTTGGGTGCCGTTAGCATGCAGTTTATGAGCGTTTTTCGCGCATGATTTGTACGCAATATGGCGAATCACGTTCAATGTACGAATCACACAGAACGTACGTAAATCACGAAATTGTTTTGCTAGCATTCAAAGGTGAACAAAAAATATATTCAATCTCTCATTTCAAAAATAAAAAATTTTCATGAATATTTCATGAATTTTCGGCGAAGGAAACGCGAAAAAATTTTTCATTACAATCGCTCGCGCAGATCGGCCGTATTTATTCAAAGTCTCCATTTAGATTAGTTTCCATTTTATGAGCAAAAAAGTGAATTATATTATTTCATAATGTTAACATTATGAGGCACATTATCATCGACATAGAAATGACTTTAATGGATACACATGCGTCTTTTTCGAAATAATGCAAAACGTACCTGGAATTTTCTCCTTTATGCATGGGAGCTTCATGGTTTCTGTACATTGGATTGTTGACGACCAAATGAATTAAATATTTATACAATAACTATTTCACAATTTATGATATACTTAAAATTCCCCAAGCGTAGATCATTACTCGCATTCGTCTACAACTAAGAAAAAAAAGAAATTTTCCTGTATAAAAAAGAGAAGATTTAAATAAAGCTGCAAACAAGAAATAAGAGAAAGTATAAAGCATTACGAAAATAGTTTATTCTCAAATTGTATTAGAAATTTAACCGACAAAAATCACGACACTGATAATATTGTCATAGATTGATGACAAAACGATGAATACATAAAATATTTGCTCAATTCGCAGGACATTTCAGAGTTAAGATAGCCACGATGTTTACTCTAGTCACAGCCTACGACATACATGAATCCTGTTCATTTTAAAACAAATACCCAATGAATTTATTTGTCATAATTTCATACTTCATAAGTCCACAATCCGGCACTACTTGTCATTGACCGATTGACAGCTTCCGGAAAAAGAGCACACGTCACACCACGTCGAACGCCGGTGATACACTGGACACACGGAAGGCAAGTACCGAGAGCCAGTGTTCAAGATGAGATAAGAGTTATCGCTGATACTGAACACTTCGTTACGGACGATAGATGACCAAGCACCACACTAAGCCTTTCACTATGAAATGCTAGAAGATTGACTTTCTGATAAAAATTATACGTAAACTACTGTGCAGTGTAGGTTAAAATAAAATTTAAAATTGTACTTCTACAAAATTGTAGATAATCCCTCATCAGCTGATATGAATGGAAGGTATTGAAAAATAAGTTGATCTGATTGTGACACAACGAACTATCGATTCTCACTTCGTGCTATTTAGTAATTTCACAAGTCTAAAATTTTCAGTTCGGCTAATCAAAATTCTACGAGCAAATAAACAAATTTGACCTAGAATTTAATACATATAATAACTTCAATATATTTAGACGAGAAGTTCCCCTGAACAGATCTTTTCATTGAAAGTCACGCTCGTACGAAGCATTAATAGATCTCCGGAATTAGTTAGAAATTTTGTTTCATCACAGCCACACTGCCGCTAAGATATTTCACGCTTCCTTTTCAAATGCCTAAACAAACACTTCATAACTTGAACACCAGTGTACTTTCACTCATCGATTGAACATGAATTCATTTGCTGCGACACCGATCAAGTTAGATAAAAGAATTGAAATTCATTTACAAGTCAGCTAAATACAATTTCAACCAGGGCAAGTCTTTAAATCAATTCGCTTGACTTGACTACACTAGAGTTACACCATCTTCTCCAAGTGCAAGTCCAATCTCAACTGACGTAAGTGGTTACACTGTGTACGTTCAACTGACATTAATAGAAAATATTTCAGGGCATACTTTCATATAAAGAGAGTTTGGGGGGTCGGAAGGGGATCGATCAAATATAATCTAAAGAACCAATTTGATGATTCAGAAACTTGGATACAATTAGTGTTTTTCAAAGAAACCAAATTTGGTCAAAATTCAATGCACAAATAAGAACCTGAAAAATTCAGTTCTAATGTATTGGATATATTCTAATTGGATATCATGAGTGAACAAAATCACACAACCTGTTATCACGGTAGTTGAAGGCAAATTTTTCACAAATTTGTATGTTTGCAGAAAGTAGGCGATATGATTACAAATATCATTAGAAAATCTCGGCGGATACTAAGAAAATTCACAGACCTCTGCTTCAGGGTATTCATTTTAAAATCCGGGTTCAGGATCATAGAAAAATTTTTTCTCGAAACACTGACGCGGGAAGTACTTAGCTAGTCCCTGGAAAATACTGCTGCAAACAAAAATATCTTGATTTTATTTCGGGAAATTCTCAATTTTGAAAAACAGTATAACGGTAATGAAAAAAACGAACGAACGGATCATAACGATATTTATGAATTTGTATGAGTATTTTTAGCGCATTTTCTCATTTATGGAAAAAAGGCGCTATTGTGCTCGTCATGTCCGTCCGTCCGTCTGTCCTTCGGTCTGTCCGTCCGTCCGTCCGTCCGTCCGTGACCACGTTTTCGTCGACGAGAAAATGTGCTCTCTGTCACTCACTGCAGTGAGTACCGAGTTATATTTTTTACATGTTTGCGTGTATTTTTCGGTAAATTTGAAAAAATATTGCTCGGATGGAAGCTTATCTTATGGTCCATCTGAAATTCTTTCTACGTTCAGATTTTAGCAGGTAAAAATTAACCTTGAAAGTTAGGGGTTAATTATTCCTTCGAGTCTACACCATATGAAAATTTATCATATGGTGTATATGATCGATCGTGTGTCGCTATCTACCTAAATCCAAAATCCATATCTTCTTCACAGAATCTCCCAACGGCAATCTTCGAAATTGGAAAACAAATAGGCAATTCATCTTCCATTCATACCAACTTTCATAATGGTGCAACTTGAATTCTTATAGCAGTTACTCGCTCCATAAATCAACTCCGCCAAAGAAATATAACATTCGCCCTCGAAGCGAACATCAAAAGACGTAAGTCTTGCAGGCACATTCCTACCTACGTACCAGCAGGGTCGCTGAAACTTTATGTAAGCTTGCTGTGGTAGGGACAGATCGGTACGTACGTGGGTTGCGGTGGTTAGATGTGACGTTTCATTTCGATCGGTGGACCAGTTGGACCTCTATGAATTGTTCACCGCTGAACCATCATTGAAACTTCAAACTTCCAAAAATTGAGAACTTATGTAGATGAACAATAAATACATGGGCTATATATTATCAACTTGCATGGCATCTAACAGACCTGCACACAAGCAATTTGTGTGGCATCTAACTGACCAGCATGCGAGATGATAACAATTTAATACTTCAAATCCAATACTTCGTTCATTAATATATTTTACCCAGAATGAATTCATCTCTTATATACCGTGGACAGGGCTGCAACATCAATGCGGCAGCACATATTTAAAACTATATTACTGCTTCAATGTGCAGGAAAGACGTTCCTAGATGATGGGTGAATTCAAGCGCTTAATCTATAACTATATTGATTACAAAACCAATTCTTGCAAGTATAACTCCTACTTGCTAGCATTTTCAAGACTTGTAGAATATTCTTATTATTCAAACAATGAGTATGATGGTCTGGCTTATTAATTATTTAGGTAGATTTAGCGGCGCTCAAAAAAAATCTCAGGCTCATTTTTTCGTGTAGAAAAGTACGCCCAATAAATGATGTTTCTATTAGACGAACTTTAATTATCCCTTCAACTTGAATTAGCCCTTCAATGATGTAATAAAATGTAGTAATAATATAAATGAATAAAATAAGTCATATAATAATAATATAAATAAATACATGCACGGAATAGACTTGTTGCTCAATGCTCATAGTAGGTTGTTAACAAAAATTGTGTCAACGCAAACATTGTATCATTTTTTCCATGATACGAATCAACCTAAAAAACGTTCAGAGAATTGGGAAAGTAATCCGAAAAGCCCCCCAAATTTATTTATTTCAAACTTTATTATTTTGCTACAGTATTTTTCAGAACAAATTTATTAAAAATTATCAATAAAATTCTCATGTTGTGGGCATTTATATGAATACAAAAACAACCCAGAATAAGTTTTCAATAATATTTCGTTTTTTTTTATAATTATTAATGATGATTATTTATTTTTGCGCGCAAACTAAATCACTTTAGAAAACAAGAAAACGCAGGCGATTGCATAAATTCAAGGAGTTCGAAAATTTCCTCTAAAGTAAGAAAATGCGTAGGTGATTAAGGTTGAGAAACAAAAGAACAATTGTTTTTCAATTTATTGCAACATTTGCAAAATCTTTTGCGGGGCTATAAGATTTTTTCTAGAAGAAGAAGCCAAAATGGCAACAAATGCAATAATAAGGGTCGCAGTTTACGCAGTTGCTCTTGATTCTCCTGCCCTTGCCACATCCGTTCCACCAGAAGTTGCAATAACCCATCTGTGGAATTAGCGAAAGTTTAACAGAAAAAAATAGTTGTTGGATTAAGTTGTCGTTCTTCTCAATTTGTTTTTTAAATGTTACTGTTTCAACTAAACGAATCAAATTCTTCTTCTTGCAAATTTGCTGTTATTGAAAGGAAGGTCGAATTCGTTGGAGAAGCGTAATGATTTTCCGATTATGATTTCTTGTAAATGAAAATGTATCTCCTCCTGGAATTTAGTGACGTCATTTAGGAAAACTGAAAGTTCAACCAATAGATAAAAAGATTGGATAAAATAATTCACCTGTTTTTATACCAACAAATGAATACATGAAGAGATCGAAGTTCTTTGCAAGCTCAATTCAAATTTAATGATATATTGTATTTCACGATGGATAGGATAGAAAATTCATGATAAATATTTTATAATAGATAATTCAAGAGAGAAAATTTCAGAATAGATAATTAATGATAGAAATCTCAGAATAGATAATTCATGATAATAATTTTCTAATATATAATTCATGATAATAATTTTCTAATAGATAATTCATGAGAGATATTTCAGAATATATAATTCAGGATTAATATTCTTCTCGCTCACTCGTCGGCCGTCCGTACACCTGCCCCAGCAAGGGAAAAACTTGCCATAGGCCAGCGCCTCGAGGTCTGGAATCTTGAAATTGCCTGCAGGCAAATTAGAAAGAATTTTATTACATGCATTCATTTAATTTTTCTTAGGTATTGAATATTTTTAAATAAAATACCTTCATTAATCTCTTTTCGTAATCAGATTGTACATAAAATTGAAACATTTAAACACGTATCTTACATCGGACTTTATTGAGCAAAACAATCAACATTCTACTTGAGGACGCACGATGCTGTGAAACACTATATAAGTATAGGTAAGCCAAATTATTATTCATTTTTCACTCTCCAGGGCAGAGATTTTAATTGGTAAAATACCCATTAAATGGATTTCTTGAGGAAAAAATTTCAAGTTTGAACTGCACAATAGTGCTTCGTTCAAAAGTCGTAGCGTGAATGTGACCAATATCCAAGTAACGAACAAAAAGCACTTTAATTTCAAATCTTGAAACGCACCCATTTTGATTGGATCCAGCGGGTAAGAATCGTTGTACAGCACTTTCAAAAACGCCTCAGTATCTGGCTTCTCAGTGACCTGGCAAAAAATTCGAATGTTTATTTGAGCTCCATCTTTTAAATTTTTTTTAGATTAACTAGAGTATTATGGAAAAAAATCATGTACTTTACACGCTTAAATAAATTTTCACATAAATTACAAATCAATTTTGAACTACTTCTGTTAATAAATATGATTTTTTTGTTATACTTTCTATTGAATACGCTTTTATTTGCCAGCTTATTTCAGTGCGTTGACCGAGTAAAGTGGTTTCTACAAACAACATCAATAATCAATAAAATGCAAGCAAATAATGATAGAAAATTGCTGTAATATGTAAAAATTTACTATACAAGAATATCATTGTGCCTTAAATAGTGAAACCATTACTTACATAAGTTACATTCAACTTTTGTGCGGACGTTGCCGCCATGACAGCAAGCAACAATGCGAGCAACTTCTTCATACTTATAGCGACTGGAAAATCCTGCGTAAGAAACATTGCATTAGGATCCATAAATTGGGGTAATGAGTTTCATTTTTTTGCCACAATAATATTAGCATACACAATACTACGGCTTCTGTAGTTCAAAATATTTATACAGCCAAACATGAGTAATAAAACGCATACCAAGTGACAGAATTACAACAGTGAATAGAAATATGATTTGAAGAATGCAAAAAATGATGAATATTTTTTTCAGTGCACTTGGTTTAGGTTGGAAAAAGTAAAACTCACCTCAAGAAAAACACACTGTTGTTCTGACGATGGTGCAGCGTTTAGTGAGTGTGGTGTTCCTTGCTCAACTTATATAGCTACACATTCAGCTTCTGAATTCATCTCATGAACATTGTAAGCTTCGACCTGGTAACAGAGGTTTAGAATAATTGATTGTTGGTGAAATTTATTATTGCAGATTATTTTTTGTTTCCAAANTGTGGACTAAAAAGTAGAAAATAAATTATGGTTCGCCCCAAAAAACGTGTGTCGGGCAGATTTATGATTAAAGCGAAAAGCACACAACACCTAAATTTTGGAAATTTGATGGTGAACGTACAGCCCGACCCACGTTTTTTTGGGGCGAACCATAATTTATATTCTACTTTTTAGTCCACAAGAAAAACGTGGTTTTTTAAAAAGTTTTTTAAGTATTTTATTTTCTACTTTTTAGTCCACAATAAAAACGATTGAGACTTGATTAAGTATGACTTGACGTACGTATCGATGATACGCAGCGTCAGCGCCTGCTCGTCTATAACGTGAGCGCCCGCACGTCATACTATATGCATATACTATATATATACTTTACTCAATTAAACTAATTTCGGTCTCTAATTACTAGTTTTTATGATTGTATCTGAAATTGTTAGGCGAAAATAGCCTGCATGCCGAATTTCAGATCTCTAGATTAATCAGAAGTGGGCTAATTTTCGTTGTCAATGTTAACAACAAACAAACAAACAAACAAACAAACAAACAAACAAACGCGAAGATAAGCTAAGAAAAACGTGTTAAAAACGTTTTAAAAACTGAAACACACCACTGTTTTACCTGATGCCTTCACAAATTTCTTCAAGAAACCTAGCTTGATTCGAAGTCGATGAAGCCCGACCTCTTCGATCATCTCCACCACCCAGGTTCTCCCTGACGAAAAAGTTCGTTAAGAATGGCTGGGCACAGCGTGCCGATTTTGGAATAAAAGCAATTTCCTTATCGATTCTTTTATAATCAAAATAATTTAAAATTGCCTTTCTGAGGATCGTCCTTAAGTAACTTCTGTGAAGTTCCCACATTCGTTTGAAGCCATTGGAGAAACTAATCATGTAACTTAGTAGAGCTAAATCGCAATTAATACAGTAATGTGCATTGAAAAATGTTCCACTGAAATTTATCTCCCCAAAAGATAATTTTAATATTATTGTTAAGGTTTCCTGCGTCTCCTGCGAAAATAATAATTTCTACTGTCGGAGCTTTACTGAATGGGGACTGAGGCTTACACTGCAGCGCCAACTGCAAAAACGTTCCTATAAATTATTAGTAACCTGTAATATAATGTAAGCTACTACAATTCGTGCATAATTACTGAAAATATTTGCTAAATTTGCAGTGTTCAAGAAATTTTTTCAAAAATGCTAAACAGGTTTGAGTAAAACTTTGTATATTAAAATTTATCCTCCCAACGGTGATGCTTAGCTCGTGAAGTTTTATTCGATTTTGCCTTCGTTTGCCAGTTGTACGGCTATACGTATACGGCTCATAGTCAATACCAATTTAAAAATCGGCCTCAGAAATGCCGGTCGTTTCTCTGTATATCAGTATATCTCGCAAACGAAGGCAAAATCGGAAAAAATTGTCACGATTTAAACATCACCGTTGGGAGGTAAGGCATTTATATACAAAGTTTCGTTCAAGTCTGTTAAGTAGTATAAAATAAATTTCTTGATCACTGCGAATTTAAGCCCGTATTGCTGTTTAAATCACGAATGAAGGTGAACTTAAAATAAACTCGCAAACAAAGGGAAATCGAAAAAAAATTCACGAGCTAGTCATCACCGTTTGTTAGCTCTAGGAATGTATATTAAAAATTTTGTTCATATCTATTCAGTAGTTTGGAAGAAAACCCTTGATCACAGCGAATTTTGGCCCGTATTACCATATAAATCACGCATGAAGGCGAAATTCAGCAAACTTTCACGAGCTAAACATCACCGTAGTCCTAATGAATACATGTACATCTTTCATAGAGCTGCGTTAATTAGTTTGGGAGGTATTCCTTGATCATCGAATTTGGAGATTGGCCATGAGACCGGCCGCGCTCGAGTTCAGCCGTAAATTTGTCCGAGACATTTTTTTGGGGAGCCGAAAGGAGATGATTAAAGTAAAATATAAAAAACCAATTCAATTATTCAAAATCTTGCATACAATTAATGTTTAGCCAAAGAAGCAAATTTAGTCAAAATTCAATGCACAAAATAAAAACCGACAAAATTTTAATGGGAATGTGTTGAATATATTCAAGTTGAATATTAAGAGCAAACAGCAGTGCTGTCTTCTTGGTACTTGGTACTCTTGGTACTTGTTTCGGACGTAACAGTCCCAGGCCACGATGGATCACGATTTCGGGCCAGATGAAGACACATTTTTTCCCCGATTTGTACACTGTTAGAAAAAACGGTGAAAAACAGTCAGATAGCTGTGGTTTCCTGCAGTCCATTTCACGTTATTTGGCATAACGTGACAATAACTTCTTTGTTGAATTTAAGCGCGAGGTGGCGCCACAGTCGACAGTTGAGATCACATCTTGGCGCCATCTTGAGTAGAAGCCTGTATTGTTTCATGCACATAATTAAGCCTACTTATTGCAGGTGTCGCATGATTTATGAAAGTTATTTAATTGGTGTTTTTTGTGCAAGTTTTAGGTATTCTGGTGTGCAACTGAGGTGTATTATTTTAGTTTTGACATCACTGTCCAGTGTCCAATGACATCGCTGTCGAGTGTCGACCATTGTCGCCGTGCGGCTTAGTCGAATTGTCATGACAGTTAGAGTACAGCCTGAGCACAGTTTGAGTACAGTTGACTACAGCTCGAACACAGTTCGGGTACAGCTTAGCACGGTTTGGGAGAAGCTTGGGCACAGTTATGGAACTGTTTGAGCACAGTTTGCGTACAGCTTGAGCACAGTTTGCGTACAGCTTGAGCACAGTTTTAGGACAGCTAGAGCACAGTTTGGGTACAGCTTGATCACAGTTCGGGTACAGCTTAGCACAGTTCGGGAGCAGCTTGAGCACAGTTTGGGTTCCACTTATACCATAAGTTTAGTTGCAGCTTTGCCGGATGCGTCCATTCAATGCAGTTCTTTGGCTGTTCAGGGGCTATTCGTGAGCAGTTTGTGTGCATTAGTTCAGATAAATACAACTGTACCAACATTGAAAAGTTCAACCTTCGAAGGTTATGGGGATTATACTTCAGCTGTTAGGCAGTTTGTGTGCAGTTGTTTGGCAGTTTGTGTGCAGTTGTTTGGCAGTTTGTGTTCAGTTGTTTGGCAGTTTGTGTGCAGTTGTTTGGCAGTTTGTGTGCAGTTGTTTGGCAGTTTGTGTGCAGTTGTTTGGTAGTTTGTGTGCAGTTGTTTGGCAGTTTGTGTGCAGTTGTTTGGTAGTTTGTGTGCAGTTGTTTGGCAGTTTGTGTGCAGTTGTTCAGCAGATTATGTGCAGTTGTTTGACAGTTTGTGTTCAGTTGTT